ATGTTTCACATATTACAACTTGCATATACTGCGAAAACCTAAGTAAACCATATACTGAACCTAACCAAATGCTTGGAAATATGAATCCAAGAGAAATGCTATGAAGTTTCAAGTGCAATTAGCAGCTTAAAGCACAACTGATTTTGACCAAGAAAATATATTGAGACTCCTTCATCCTGCAGTCTGATGAAAAAAGAGCCAACGAGGTAAGAGTCGGAAACCAAAAAAGTGCAAAACTACATTTTTCAAGGTCCAGTGTGGCCGCCCTCTTATATTCTCCAATAAAAGATATGCTAGCGAATGCACAAAAGAAGAAGCAAACTGGAATGCTCTATTGAATGTTTCTGTAGTCAAACAGCACCTATGCCCAGCCAGATACTGCAATATTTGTTCCAGACATTTCATGTCCCTTTTCCGAACTAAACACGACATGACCACAAAAAGAGCAAGCGGTGGTCGAGATGGGGCAGCATGGGAGGTCGATTTACTCGTGTATCTTCATACGCCGCGCAACCGCGTCGCGCACAAATCCACAATGCAATCGATGACCACGAACGTAGGTGTCAACATAGATGACTGGTAGAGATCACCTTGCTGTGCGTAACTGTGTGCAGATAGTAGGGTACATCGTTGGGAGTCCAAGATGTTGGTTGCTTTACCGTTTTCAGCTGGGTGACTTCCATTATCGCTTCTACATCTAAATCCACGTTTTTCAGTTTGGATCAAAAACGTAGTTGTTTAAGCACCGCACAAAAGGACAAAAACTAACCTCCTAGATTACGCATATTCACTCGTTTTGTTCCAGTCGCATAGGCTTTCGTTGAAATAATTCGAGTTCCTACATGACAGTCAGCTAGCATATTCTTTATATGAAGGTCTAACTCCGGCTCGAATGCGTAGTTATTGATGAAGATGATCGTAGCTTCCTATATGAGACAAGTTGTGGAAACAAAAAAATTGGCGAATACCAGAAGGTATGACAATATAAAAGTTTATATACTTCGAACCTTGGGCATTGAGAGGCAATTTATCTTCGAATAGTGTGGTGAGCAGAAAGAGATGAAAGATGAAGTTACACATGTTCGAAGCAGATTTATTAGGCTCGATTACAACACAAATTTCATAACCGCGACATTCAAGACAGAAAATCTGCTCAGCAGGCAAAGCTAACACCAACACCCAGCGACTTAAGTTGGATGTCATAGCTGATCGTGAGCATAAGTGCATGTGAGTCATTCTTTGTTGCCGTAATATACGTATCGTGTTTGTTGAGATTTCTCCAAAAATCCATCTCAAAAATTTTTAGTCTAATGATCGAGGGTGCTATTCCAGTACACCGACCCCAAAAATTAAGTCTCGGATTTCGCTGAAACTT